AATAATTGTTCGAGACCAGAAACTGCACTGCAGTTTTAATTTGTTGCAATATTTGACCAGAAAATTCAGTGCAGTTTGTTGTTTCCCTTTCGTTTTGTTGCATCCTGTTCCAAGATTATATTACAGTTTATATGTATAGGAAATATGTTCTCATATACCATAACTAGAAATATTTACAAACATCTACAAGAATTAAGATACATATTGTCTTGAGTTAACGAAAGGCAAATCACTAGAGACGATTAATTACACAGTGTTTGTGGTGTAAGAGTTTTGTGACATGTTGTGCTCGATATTCATTCATGAAATTCTTGTCCACACTTTTTGGAATGGGCTGTCCTTGTGCTATTTTATCCATGTAGAACATGACGAACATGCCGCAATCCAACCTGCAAATGAATACGAGATTAGCTTTTGGTTTTGAATGATTTCAAATTGTAATGAATGGTTGAGTAGACACAATTCTTACGAAGACGAATTTTGTTGAGCACATTCTGTGTCATCCTCAAATGGAAACTGATATGGATTTTGCAGAATCCAATTTAGAGTGAGTTCTTCATTTGGGGACAAATCAACCTGTGCAGGTGTAGGAGGGCCTTCTTTTTGCTTCACAAGTTTTGGTATTGTTTTAGTTTCTAAGAACTCTTGTGCTTGTGGTCTGATATATTCTAGTCACCCTTCCACAATATTAACCTGTTTAAAGAAGAAGAGAAAAAGAGAAAAAGAAATGGTAATCAGTGCATTGCATATTATGGTTTTGGTCTGAAATTAAGCAGTACGTGTAATACAGAAACTGCATTGCAGTTTCTGTTTGTGTTTGTGCTGAGAAATTAAGACAGTTTCATTCCACTTACAAAATTTTGAGCAATGTCAATACACTTTTCTTCTTTTCTAGATCCCAACGATCTAAGTGGATTGTAGTGTCTCCACTTTCGTTCCATTTTGTGAAATGTGAGAAGTGTAAAGTGGAACTCAGAACTTGAAATGATCGGGAAGAAGAGAACATTGCATTTCCCGAGTTTTTCAAGTAAGTGTTCATACAGGGCCCTATGCCAATTTTGTTCTAGAAAGGTTTGCATATAAGCCTGCTATCATTGAATGGCAATTTGTTAGTATATATTTTTCGAAAACTGCAGTGCCGTGTCTGTTTAAACAACTTTGAATTTTCAAAATAATTCTTACCCAAGTCCATGTAGACATGTACTGTGGACTATCTGTCTGCATGGGCCCTATTTTCTCCTCCTCTATTTGGATATAGGCCTCAATAACCTGTTTCACATTGATTGGAGAAAAATGGAATTATTAACAGGTAATATAGGTAGCAAAAATAAAAAATGCAGTGCAGTGTGTGTTATAGAATTAGTATTTTATACTTACGTTTTGTGACAGTTCCAGGTCCCATACAATATCTTTGATATCATGGTTTGTCACTTTCTCATTATCGAGTCCTGCCCAAAAGCTATCACTGCGGATTCGAATACATGAAATTCACAAGATTAGTTTTAGTTTATTGTAATTAAAAGATGAAAGAGTTGTTCTTTTGGAATAGAGATATTACCTAGGTTGAGTACTTAAGTAGTATTCTTGAATTCTGTCCCTGTCCTCCTTTGGAATTTTCTGCCAAACCCTCTTTTGACCCCATCCTAGTTTTTTCTTTGTTGGCTTTTTTTTTCCTTCATCTTCATCATTTGATTCTTGCATACCTACAGGTATTGAATCATGAAGGCTCCTTCCTTTTGGGGGATCAGGAATTGGATTTGTGGCATCGGGCTGAGATGCCTCTTGTGTTAACTGCAGATTGAAAGGAAACTAATTAGAAACTACATTTGATAAAACAGAAACTGCAATGCAGTTTCCGTTTCTGTAAAGCAGAAACTGCAAAGCAGTTTCCATTTCTGTAAAGCAGATAACACACTGCATTGCAGTTTCTATTTTCTGCAATGCAGAAAACAGAAAAAGCAGCAGCTTGAACTGCAGTAATTGCATACCACCTTCTGATTTTGAGGATCCTCTTGTGTTGATTGCTCCTCGGAAGAGATAAGCTTGAATTGTGGTAGTTCTTCATCATCCTTTTTTGCCTTCTTTTTTGGTTTCTTATTTTTTGTGTACACATAGCAAGATGCTTGAAGCCTCTTTCTTTCTCTATTCTTCAGCCTTAGTACTCTTGAAGGAACATCAGGTTTTGGAGCATCTTGCTTCTTCTCTTCTTCTTTCTCTTCTTGTTGCTTCTCTTCTTCTTTCTTGTCTTCTTCTTTCTCTTCCTCTTCTTCTTCTTGCTCTTCAACTGGTTGTGTTGGTTGTGGTGTAGGCAGATCCATCGCCATTTCAAAGACTGTTGGGTCTGAGAACAAGCTTTGAATTTCTACCTTGTACTTTTCTTCAATCTCCTTTTTCTTGGCAATCTTCTCCATGTCTATACGAGTTTCCTTGCCTTCCAATTCTACAATCCTCCTTTTTAGATTTTGTATTTCCTGAAGCTGAACTGTAGATTCCACTGTCATGGTGGCAGTCAAATATTCTTCATTATCTAATTTCTCTACGTATGTTGCCAACTTCGCTTCCAACTCCTTTGATCTCTTTTCTCCTTGGATAAATATATCCCACAATTCCTTCATTTTCTTCTCACTGTCTTCATTTATTTCATCCTTCCACAGTTGTAATCTTTCGGGGCAAATGAAGGTAGGATCTTGACGTTGGCGACAGTTGATTTCGTCTGTCATGGACTTCACCAAGAGGTCTTGAATTGCAAGAGGTTCATTTCCAGCTTCATTCTCAAACATTTTCTTCTTTCCATCCTCTTTTAATTCTGGAGTTTGATCAGCATTATCAGGTTTTCCTTGGTCTTCTGCTTCCTCTGCTTCTCTTTGTTGTCCTTCATCTTCTTTTTCTTTTTTCTGCATATTGAACGGAAACTAATTAGAAACTGCACTGCATTGGAGGAAATGGAAACCGCAATGCATAATTCTTTGTTTAGAGATTCTTATACCTTGTCAAGAGGGACTCCCTCTTCTCTAGTAGTTTTTCTCCTTTTATATGCTTTCAAAATACCCTGTACAATGAGATTGAATGATTCAAAAACTGCATTGGATAAAATACAAACTGCAATGTAGAAAACACAAACTGCAATGCACTGTATACAGATTTTAATTACCTTGTCAACAGTGTCTTCCTCTTCCCTGGTAGTTTTTCGCTTTTTAGGAGTTTTAAAAATACCCTGTACAATGAGAATGATTTAGCATGGATTCACATTCAAGATACATTAAAGTAGAACATGCGATAAATTGCATACCTCGATGTCATTCAAGTCCTTTATTTGGTTGAATCTTGTGTGGAGTTCCACAAGACTCCATTTAAGAATGGCAGGAGTTTCTTTCTCCTTGCCCAGGATTGGTTGTATTATGTTTGTCCTCTCACACAGTAGAAACTGCACAGTTCAAAAACAAGATATATCATAAAACAGAAACTACAGAAGAACATGGCGTGAAATGAGCAACATTCAAGAAGCACAGAAACTGCAATTAGCTCCTATAGAGCATTCTCCTCCCTTCTTTGCTTTTGCGACCAAGGATTCATTCATGTAGGCTGAAACAGCTCTTGCCCAAGAATAGCTTGAAAGTGTGTCTAGATTCACACAGTGCTCAAATACTTTCCAATGCAAAGTAGATGAAGCGTTGGCAAAAAGGAATGTCATGCAGAGGTGAACCAATACTAGGCTGACCACCTCCTTGTCGTAGTCAACTTCTTCTTCTTC